ACTAGGAACAAGGACGCTACTAGGCGCTCCTGGCCTTACTACTAGGAGCTAGAAGCTACTAGGAACAAGGACGCTACTAGGCGCTCCTGGCCTTACTACTAGGAGCAAGAAGCTACTCCGTTTCCAGCGCTGTTCCGCCAGGCTGGCGAGCCGCGCCGCCATGGAGCGCCCCAGCGGTGCGTCGGTGACCGGGCCGTGGCTCCGCGCGGAGGCTCGGAAGGAACGTTGGAAAGCGACGAGGCAAAGAAAAGGCGCCAGACCGCGGTCCAGAAAAGAGGTGCAAGAATACTGTAATTGATTTCTTTGTCCGGTATAGGTTGTAACGGTTTATTTTTGGTTCTGTACTTTAGGACAATGAGGGGGGATTCTCTTAGTCCAGACGGTTTGGTGCAGATGGTTGCACCGGATTGGTCATGTTTCAGGCCACCTGCGATGACACCCCGACCGATCCCGGATGGACCAAGGTCCGATGCGGAAGCTCTTGGAGGTGCAAAGTGGCTCAGGGGGACTGGCTCCGGGCAATGTGTTTGTTCTCGAAAACAAAAAGTGGCGAGTGAGTGGGAATATGGGCAGGGCATTCATCTTTAGTTAGGGCTCCCGGGTTCAAAAACAGCTGGACCAGCACTTGAAATTTGAGTCTTCAGACTGGCTATGTACCCGTGCTAGAAAATTGCAGCACTGCGCCTGAGCTAGGCCCTTCAATAGTATTGACAATGCTTTGTTTTGTGTTGCGAGTCAGGTCTGTTGGTAGGGGAAGGCAACACTCACCTATTCTAAACCAACTCAGTATCAATGATGCCAGAGGTGCAAAACTTGGCTTTCCACTTGCCCACTCCCGAAAAGCCACCACTTCTACTACAGACTACAGGCACACAGTCCTGCAGCGATTCCGATGGGCACATTGGCACTTGCCAATTTCATCCAATTTCCACAATTTTGAGCTATCAGATTTGTTCAGCTCACATTGCAAAGAGGTGTCCAAGAACCAAACCAGATCGGAAATTGCAAGTCCAGAACCAGCATGAACCAGCCACGTATTGGACACAAGAAGCTACGACTACTGGCGCTCGTAGGAGCACAGGAGGGCGCTACTAGTAGCTCCTGGCATCATTACTAGGAGCAATCTTGCTACTAGTAACAAGCAGCTACTAGTCCTGAAAGTCATGCGTCGCCTCGTGAAGTTCACCATTCGACCGTGGTGACGCAGCGCCGCCAGGCGCGGGCAGATCCCAACGCAGCGGACCTGTCAGGAGAGCCGCCGCTCATTGAGGCTGCTTGCTGCGGAGATCTTGAGGCGCGCCATAAATGAAAGCAAGCTCCAAGAATAAGGGAGGTGAGCACCAAATATTTGACCAATAGGGTGTTGTTTTGTTCATCTTCTATGGTCCGAACACCTGGACAAAGAATGAACTGCTGGGGGGTGCCAAAACTGGCTGGCTCGCTCGGCTCGCTCTAGGTTTGCCAACTCCTTCTCGAAGCTCGTGCCGATGCATCCCCTGAGAGTAGCGTTCGGCGCTAAGATCCAACCAGCAGATGAGGGGCACATCATTGATGAAGTTCTGATGAAGTATCATATATTATATATACATACATATTAAGCTTGTTAGGTCCATCGTCTCCTTGCAACACCATCAAAATAACATCAAACACCGATCTCCGAGTGAGGATGATCCATGTTGGAATGCAATCGTTGGAAGTGGGGATGACAGACCAGTC